TCATTTACAGCAGGGGTCTCCAAACTTTTCAGTTCGAGGGCCGCATTAACTATTAAATATAGTTAATGGGCCAGAGTTTCTTCCAGGCGTCAGTTTGGGGTGGTGAAGCCACCCCCCCCCCCCGCTAAATATAATTTATATAGAAATATATAAAATTTAAAGTGTCCCCCATCCCCCCCGTCTTGGAGAAAAAGTCTGAAAGAAACACTGTCGAGGCCCGACAAAACACTCGAGGTCCAAGTTTGTTCCCAAATTATTCTTCACGTATTTCATTCTTGAAAATGTTTGTTCACACCGGTATGTTGTTCCAAACTTTGAAAGGTACTTTGATGCAAAAGTTTCAATATTAGGAAAGTCTTCCTTGAGCAAAAACTTATAAAAACCCACCCGCCCTTTTTTGAACTTGTCTCTAAGGAGGTAATTTGCTTGCAATTCTATGATATTCAGCTATGGTTCAACTAGGCAACTGGGCACATTTTTTTCAAATGTATTTTGAAACAGTTTCACTTCTTCTGCCTTTTATTCCAAGTCAGAAAATCTCTACTGAAACTGCAGCTGGAGGTCTTTGTTGATCTCGCATGAAAATGACGTGGGGAACTCAGCTGTTGCTTCAGCCATGAAGACCTTGTACTGCTGAAAGTGCGCCAAGTTGTTGGCCTGTACTTGTTCCAAAAACATGACCAGTTTTGGATCTAAGGGCTTTAGGTCGGTGTATAGATCAGAAACTAGATTTCCTTCTCTTGTAGTTTTAGGTTCAGAAAATTTAAATGAATAGTTATGTCTGCAGTATAGGCCAATTTCTATACTCACTCTTCATCAGACATTAATGCTTGTGGCTTGCCTTTACTTTCTAGGAAGTAACCTATTTCCTTTCTTAACTTAAATACCATGCTCAGACTCTTTCTCACAACTTAGCCATCTTACTGCTGTGTAATATGGTAAATCTTGCGATTCCTTTTTTGTATCTTTCAACATGTCTCTGAACTATCTATGGTTAAGCCCATGTGACCTTATTAAATTAATCATCTTCACCAATGTCTGCAACACGGCGGGCAAAAGTATTTGCAGCCAAAGCTACATTTTCAAATTGCTTTGAATTTTCTGGTAAAAGCTCCTCAGCCACCTCCAACAAACGTTAATTTTTCCGTGGACATAAAGATCCCCGCGGGCCGGATGAGAGGACCTCGCGGGCCGCATTCGGCCCGCGGGCCGTAGTTTGGAGACCCCTGATTTACAGCCTTCACTTAGCCCTGCTTAGTTGTGACTTGTATGTTTATTAGGATATTAAATTAACTGATTGTATTGTTAATGTGTAAGGAATGTTAAAATTATTAAAACCTAAATTATTCAGAATAATCAACATTTAAAAAACTCACTATTTAAGCACCTCAATGAGTCTCAAATATGGTGTAACATTTATTGATTTAAAATTAAACATTTCAAAGGTATTGTTTTTATTTAATACAGAAATAGGTCTAAATGCTAGTAAATACTAAATACCCAATACTTAAAAGAAGAACCTAAACTAAATATAGCATAACCTTTGCCTTTGGTGTTTGTGGTAAAATGCATGGCACAAGCTTAAAATAAATGGCATGAGGTGACATGCACAACTTACCATTAATAAAATGTAATGTAATGTGTGTAGGTTGTGTATGAATGACACACGTAAATAATAAATATGTTTAGCATGAAGTATGTAGGTTTTAATTCTTTTATAGGATGTACGCATACATAGGCCTAATAGTGCCTAATGGGGTAATACTAATTACTGTAATTAATAGTAATTAAAATAAACGAGCCGACCCGCAGCGTATCATACGCCGCTATTTAGTTGTTTTATTTTCTACTTTTTAGTAATTCAAAATTTGTGAATTCGACAGTACCAATGCTGCCACTGAAAATATTTGCTTTAAAATTTAAAACACTAAAACTAAGTTGACTAAGTTGACATGATCAATATTCAAAACAGACAATTATCACAATACATTTAAAAAGCTGAACACATATAGACTCTAGCTAGATCTAGTTAATAATATAATATTTAATTATTTATCATAACAGCGTGAAACAAACAGAATATGCAGTAGGCAAATATGAAAATATTTACCTCAAAACAATAACGCCAGATATTACATAGGCCTACACAATTGAATGAAGTGTGTCAATATCAACAATATTTAATAGGAAGTACTTTGGAATAGGGAGTAGTTAATAATTCTAAGGGTCGGCGTGGTTGCTAAACCGAAAAGTCTCGAGTTCGAACCCTCGGGCTGATGAGGCTCGTTAGCTGGGGACAGCCACTCTTCTAGGAGAGACAACTCCAAAATTAAACAACTGCTGCCTTGTAGTTTGTTCTTGGTTGGACAAAGGCTATGGAAGCAAATCCAAAAAGAAAAGCAGGCTGAAATCGGAGTCAATGGCCTCAATGGCGCATAACCAGTTGACACGTAACGCTTAATTGTGTTGGAGGCGTGGTCGAGTCGGCAAACAGCTCATGGTTGATAAATTCGAACAAATTGATAAATTCGAGTTCAAACCCACTGGCAGATAAATCTCGATCCCCTTCAACACTAATAATTAAGAACGAAGAAGAAGAAGAAGAAGAATTCTAAAAGAATAGGGAGGTTTTATTGTTTAAATTTATTATTATATCTTTCATCACAGAGTGTTGAAAACGGCTTGCCGTCTGACATTCCCCATACCAAGCGACAATCAGCTGTCCGTAAACCGTATACTCTCTACTCCACCTATTCTCACTGTTCTGTGTTGAGCGTTTTTATCCTGTTTAAAGTATTTTCTGCAGTATACTATTTTTTTAAAAGAGTATAGAAATTGAAATAATTTAATGATTAATATTTGCGCATTGAACCCGAGAGCCGCACTTTGACATCAAAGGAGCCGCATGCGGCTCGAGAGCCGCAGGTTGCCGACCCCTGCGCTAGGCTAGTCGGCCAACGTGTCAGACGAATATTATGTAATTTCAGAGACAAAAGTCTGACAAGATTTCCTGATCTATGCCCAAGGATTATTAACATCAACTCCACAAAGTGAAAGGGGAAGGGAGGTGGGGTATAAACCACCGCGATCGTGTAATGTAAGGGTGTTACACAGCATCAAAGGCGACGATCGTCAGCTTGTCGCGTTATGGAGTAGTGGGGGCAGGTGAAGCTATGGATGTTACATTGGGTGTTACATACCATGTAGGATGATCAGTGTATTCAGAGTTTCTTCCAGGCATCTCTTCGGGGGGGCAAAGCCCCCCCCCCCCCCCCCGGAAAAATTTTTACCGCCCCCCCCCCCCCGAACGAAATGAAATTTATATAATTTATATAGAAAATATATACTTTTAACAGTGTCCGCCCCCCCCCCCCCCGAAGAAAGTTTACCGCCCCCCCCCCCCCCCCGAAGATTTCAAGTGCCCCCCCGGAGAAAAAAGTCTGGAAGAAACACTGAGTGTATTCCCCCACCCACCCCAGCCCATTTTGGTCGATTGGTAAGCTAGTAACCTCCACGTTGTTAATTTAACATGCTTATTTGACACATTCATTTTATTTAGAATTATATAATTTATATTATATTAAAATGAGTATCGGTTGAAAATTATCTATAGAATATTATTTGATCCTTGGTGATGTTTATTACTTAATAATAGATTTAACTTAAAAATAAACAACTGATACATTCATGTTTTTTTAGAATAATATACAGTTCATAACTCATTGTTTCAAATAAGTATTTCGTTTTGATTGTGAAAGTTTTTCATTGTGTTTACTGCAGAACGTTGTCCGGGGGAGGGGGCTGACACTGGTAAAAGTATATATTTTCTATACAAATTATATTTCTTTTCGGGGAGGGGGGGGGGGGCGAGGGGGGGGGGGGGCTTAGACGTTATTCTGGGGGAAGGGGAGGAATTATACGATGTACCGGGAGAGAGGGAGGGATTTTCTACCGCGAGAGAGGGAGGGATTCCGGATTAGACGTTCTACAGGGGAGGAAGGAGGAGATTAGACGTTCTACCGGGGGGGGGGGGAGGGAGGATGAGGCTCGTTGCTGGGGACAGCCACTCTTCTAGGAGAGACAACTACAAAATCAAACAACTGCTGCCTTGTAGTTTGTTCTTGGTTGGACAAAGTCTATGGAAGCAAATCCAAAAAGGAAAAGCAGGCTGAAATCGGAGTCAATGGCCTCAATGGCGCATAACCAGTTGACACGTATACTTAATTGTGTTGGGGGGGGGGGTCCAACACTAAAATTAAGAACGAAGAAGAAGAAGAAGACTGGTCACTTTATGTGACATGAGTTTGTGCTTTAAATCCTATCTTTTCTTTTGGTTGGTTAAGAAAGGAAGGTGTTTAGTTTTAAATATACTCCCAACATTTACCTTAGATATATATGGTTATTTAATTCATTTCTTAGGATTTTCCAAAGCTGTCTAAAACATGACTTTTACTTTAAAGATTTGTATCAGTAATACAAGAAAAGCAGACAGAATGCTCCCATCTTATACAGCAGTTTCTTACAGGATTTGGTGATTCTATGCTGCTATTTAGAAAAGAACATTGGAACAGCTTTGACCTGGCAAGTCCATGAGGTTAATTCCACAACTATTTAAACTTAGCCAGAGCTTGACCAATACTTTTGTTTACAATTATAGGCTAGTATTGTACTTCATCATGGGATGGCTAGTCTGTTAATCCATGTCTCGAGTTCAAATCCGGGTTCAAATCAGTAAGATGTCCCTGAGTCTACCCAGACATTTAAGGATACTTAGAAAAAAACCTTACCTGACAACATATAATATTAACAGCTACTATAGCTTACTGAAAACCACATAGATCCTAGTGCCATTATTTTAAATCTCTTGTAACTATGTTAACAAATGATTGTTATGCATCCCCCACCCAACCCTTTTAACATAAGCCATTAACACAAGTCAATACACATAGAAAGCTACAAAACTATCGATTACAGTAAACTATAAAACAAATTCAACAATAATAAAACAAAACAATTTGTGTTAAGAAAAGTAGGTCTTTATTTAATATTGATAAAATAATATGCAATGTAGTCTAAACATTTAATTAATGGTTGTCCATAAATTATGTAGATGTGGGGCAGGATTTGCCATCACACTTGAGTTCTAAAAAATAATTTTCTAATCTGATGCTTTGCAGTTACACATATTTTTATTAGACTGTAACTGTATTAGAAAAGTTGAAATTTTCCAATTTTGGCCCAACATTCATTGTTTAGAACAATAATTGGATTTTGTAAATATATGCATTTAGAGGGGATGAAAAACTAGAAATAATAAAAAAATTTGCTAGAAATTTTATGAATAACTCCAAGACAAAATATGAGATTCTTTGCTTTAATTTTAAAGCAATATATTTTTAAAATGTGAGATTGATTGTAGATAAATTAACGTCGTAAAGCCACACGTAATATCATAAATTAAACTTTAAATTACATAAGAAAAAAACAACAAATATGTGCTAATTTAGAATTTAAAAACAGAAATAATAGGTAGAAGTAACTTTTTCTTTTTGCAGATTTCATCCATGTTGTAACTTGGTAAATTTGATACCTACTAGTTACATTTATACATTTTGAAATGTGTTTTTGTACAAACAAATAACACCTGGTGATATCAATTCACTACATAAAACCATGACATTCATCTGCTGTGTAAATTATAGAGTATTGTTCCATTAAAAAAACAATCAATGGAAATACTGTTTCATTTACTGGGCACGACACAGCTGCAAGACTACCACTGTTAACACTGTCATGTATGTTACAGGGACATATTTTTTATAAAGCTTAGGCATAAAAAGTACAGTTAAAGCTTTCAGATCTAGTTTAACATTTAAAGAATTTAAATACAGATTGTAAAGGCAAAGATTATGATAAACTGATACTGTAGTGACTAAAATATAGACCATCCAGTTTTTAAATTTGTAAATTTAGTAGAAATAGTGCAACAAATATTTAATGAGGAATGTAGGAGATTGTTGATATAGCACTGACCTGCGTTTAGAAATAAAAGTTTTTGATATATTTCAACATTACCTTCTTAAAAAGCATTTCAAATGAATAAGAGGGCATGAGTCATCAAAAACATCAAAATATATTTAAAATAACTTTTTAAACAAAAAAAAAAAATACATTCAATATTTATTGATTGCATAAAAAATAAATGGAATTGAAAGACTTGGCCCAAACAAATTAGTTTTTATATTTTTTTAAATTACATAAATTTTCTGTCCCTAGATCTTTTTCTTTCTCATCCCTAGATTTTATTCTTCCTCATAAGGAAGAAATAATGCAGAAGAGTTAGGGGGTGTGTTAGCTATTATTAATTTTTATGTTATTCATCGATGCTGTGTTTTTTAAAAAATCTACTCCATTACATCAACACAGAAATATATATATTTAAATTTAACACTTTTTGTGCAGAACAATAAAGATGTGCTTATGTGCAAAAGCTGTTTATAACTGAACATTCTTGATTCAACAAAACTGGCATTTTAATTCTTGTTATAAAAACAAGGCTATAATATAACACTTATAACAAAATTAAACTCCGCTGGAATGTACCAAAAACATTTGCAACAGGGGAGGTAATTACAAAATGTACAATGGTATCACAATTCTAAAACACTTTTTGTTTATCACAACCTTTGCTTAGGGGATAGGAGGTGACGCCCAAGCTTGGAGGTGACTGCTCAAACTTAAAGGTGACAAACAGGGTAGGGGAGGTAACAACTTAAATAATGCTGCTGGGATGTGACAACCCAAACTAGGATGCTGCAAGCTAACTAAACCACATGGGGATCACACATCTTTGATTCTAATTATAGCTACAGTTCCATAAAACATCAAAACTTGAGTATGAGCCAGAAGCAAGGTGTCAACAAATGTACAAAGCAAATATTTTTAGCAGGCATGTCTATAAATACTACAACAAAGGAGAAACTAAGCCTGAGAAGCTAAATATTTTCGATCTTCAAAAAAAAAGTTTAAATAAAAGCTGAAGTGGATATTCAGTACAATGAAATTAAAAATCATAAATATCAGATAAAAAAGAGATTCATAATCAGATTTTTAATTAGTGAGGTTGAAATAAATGAACACAATCTTGGATAACCAATTTATGAATAAACAATTTTTTGGGAATCACCAATGAACCTAGTTTTGAAAGGGAAGATATTTCTACCTGTGATATTAAAAGGTGACAATCTGGAATGTAGTCAAAAAATATGGCTCATTAATTAATTCATGTAACAATTTCTTAGTGCAACATCATCTTATTAACTCCAAGATCTAATTAATTTAAGTGATGTTGCCAGTAGAAGAATTGTTAAAGATGATGAATTTTTAAAAATCCTATTGAACTATACATTTGCTTCACTTAAATGTAAAAAAAAACTCAATGTTAAAGTAAATATACAAAAAAATAGTTTTTAAAAAGTGTAAACATTAGCAAAAATATACGCCTATTTTAAATGACAAAGAGAAATTCTTTGGTTACAAAATCAAAAATAATAGTTTCAAAATAAATTAGTTAAAATATGTCAATTAATTGAGAGAAAGAAATCAAACTTGTCAAAGAAAGTCTTCACCAGTGACATATACATAATGCAACACATAAAAAAGGTTTTTTAAGTAATGTCAATAAACTGTGAGAAAGAAATCAAAGTTGGCAAAGAAAGTCTCCACTAGTCAGATCTTTATGATGAGACTCATTAAAAAGAAGGTTTGTCAATAAACAGTGAGAAAGAAATCAAAGTTGGCAATGAAAGTTATCACTTGCTGCACCATCTACATGATTAGGTTGTCATCATCATTTCCCAGCATTGGTGAGCGGATCTCTGCATCCCTCTCTTCCAGCTGTCTGAACACCAGCTTCTTTCTGCACGCTATGAACCCCCAGATTGATAAAACAATGGCCATAGCACCTGCCACAGAGGCACCTATGTATATGGGAACTGGGTGGGGGTGGGGGAAGATACAATAAAGATTGATAAAATAATGACCATAGCTCTAACAACAGAAGCAAAACCACTTACCTAGCTAGTGTCCCCTGAATCCTCTCAGATTTGATACCTGGTGCTGTACCAGTCCCAACCAACCTAAAACTTCCAAGAGAGTGATTTGGATTTTAAAAAGTACTCACTGTTGTGCCATTCCTTGACTGGTTTCTCTTCTGACCGGTGGGGTGAGGGTGTTGTTGCAGGTGATTCCACTGTAGAATTGTGACAGGGAAATATGAGAAACAAAGCACTAAATCAAAACATGAGAAATGTGACTACATGATTAGAAATGTGATCACAGGATTAGAAATGTGACTACAGGATTAGAAATGTGACTACAGGATTAGAAATGTGACCACATGATAAGAAATAAGACCAAGTGATTAGAAATATGACCACAGGATTAGTAATGTGACCACATGATTAGTAATGTGACCACAGGATTAGAAATGTGACCACATGATTAGTAATGTGACCACAGGATTAGAAATGTGACCACAGGATTAGAAATGTGACCACAGGATTAGTAATGTGACCACAGGATTAGTAATGTGACTACAGGATTAGTAATGTGACTACAGGATTAGAAATGTTACCACAGGATTAGAAATGTGACTACATGATTAGAAATGTGACCACAGGATTAGAAATGTGACCACATGATTAGAAATAAGACCAAGTGATTAGAAATATGACCACAGGATTAGTAATGTGACCACATGATTAGTAATGTGACCACAGGATTAGAAATGTGACCACATGATTAGTAATGTGACCACAGGATTAGAAATGTGACCACAGGATTAGAAATGTGACCACAGGATTAGTAATGTGACCACAGGATTAGTAATGTGACCACATGATTAGTAATGTGACCACAGGATTAGAAATGTGACCACATGATTAGTAATGTGACCACAGGATTAGAAATGTGACCACAGGATTAGAAATGTGACCACAGGATTAGAAATGTGACCACAGGATTAGAAATGTGACCACAGGATTAGAAATGTGACCACAGGATTAGAAATGTGACCACAGGATTAGAAATGTGACGTGTTTAGAAATGTGACTACATGATTAGAAATGTGACGTGTTTAGAAATGTGACTACATGATTAGAAATGTGACTACATGATTAGAAATGTGACCACGTGATTAGAAATGTGACGTGTTTAGAAATGTGACTACATGATTAGAAATGTGACTACGTGTTTAGAAATGTGACGTGTTTAGAAATGTGACGACAGGATTAGAAATGTGACCACAGAATTACAAATGTGACCACATGATTAGTAATGTGACCACAGGATTAGTAATATGACCACAGGATTAGTAATGTGACCACAGGATTAGTAATGTGACCACAGGATTAGTAATGTGACCACAGGATTAGTAATGTGACTACAGGATTAGTAATGTGACCACAGGATTAGAAATGTGAACAGAGGATTAGAAATGTGACCACGTGATTAGAAATGTGACCAAGTGATTAGAAATGTGACCACACGATTAGAAATGGGTTCCATGACAAATGATCTCAGGACAAACAACCTCAGGACAAAATATATCAGGACAAATGACACCATGGACAAATGATCTCAGACAAAATATCTCACAGCAAAATATGTATAGTATTTGAGATTTTTTTAGTCAATTTTAACATTTTTGAATTGAATGCCATATTATGGATTTTATTTACTTTTTTAAAAACATACTTATTGTGAGATATACTACATGAATGACCTAAACTTAATAAACAGGCCACATGATTAAAAATGTGACCATACAATTAGAAATATGATCACAAAATGTAGAATAAAACTATAAAATATAGAAATATGTCTATAAGATACAGAAATGTAAGCACAAAATTAGAAATCAAACAACAAAGTTAGAAATGTACAAACTGAACAAACACAGACAATGTAGCAGCCACACAAACACAGACGATGTAGCAGCCACAACACAAATGTTCACCCACATTTTGCTGTACTGTTCATGTGGCTGTCCGGCTTCTGGCCGTGTTGCGCAAAGACGCACATACCACGCACTTCATCATAGCTGTAGCCCTGAACACACTGACAAGTCTGTGAGCTGCACTCCTCGTTAAAGCTGCAGTCGTTGTCCTGCATACACCTCTGGTTCACTTGGCTAAAGGGAGAGCAGTAGTCCTTACTGGCAGACAGCTGGGATTCTGAAAGACAACATGAAAGACAGAATGAAATTGCCTTTAAGATACAAATACAAGAAAATGTATTCATTGTTAAACTGAAAAAATACAGAGAATTTTTACAATTTCAAAAAAAAAAAATGGATTGCTAAACCACAAAGAACAACTTATTCCATTAGACCACAAATATTAACTTATCCCACACTGGACCACAAATATTAACTTATCCCACACTGGACCACAAATATTAACTTCTCCCCACACTTGACCACAAAAATCAACTTATCCCACACTGGACCACAAACATCAACTTATCCCACACTGGACCACAAATATTAACTTATCCCACACTGGACCACAAATATTAACTTCTCCCCACACTTGACCACAAAAATCAACTTATCCCACACTGGACCACAAACATCAACTTATCCCACACTGGACCACAAATATTAACTTCTCCCCACACTTGACCACAAAAATCAACTTATCCCACACTGGACCACAAACATCAACTTATCCCACACTGGACCACAAATATTAACTTATCCCCACACTAGACCACAATATCAACTTATCCCCACACTTGACCACAACATCAACTTATCCCACACTTGACCACAACATCAACTTATCCCACATTTAACCACAAAAATCAACTTATCCCCACACTAGACCACAATATCAACTTATACCCACAGCACTTGACCACAAAAATCAACTTATCCCCATACCTAAGTTACATGTGCATGTGCTGTTGGTGCCACAAAACTCGTGAGCGCTGCATGCAGTTTTGATATCACAGAATTTGTTCAGCGTTGCTGTGTGAGAAGAAAATAACAGTTGGAGACACATACATCAACTCATCCCAAACCTTAGGAACATGAGAAGAAAATAACAGTTGGAGACACATACATCAACTCATCCCAAACCTTAGGAACATGAGAAGAAAATAACAGTTGGAGACACATACATCAACTCATCCCAAACCTTAGGAACATGAGAAGAAAATAACAGTTGGAGACACATACATCAACTCATCCCAAACCTTAGGAACATGAGAAGAAAATAACAGTTGGAGACACATACATCAACTCATACCAAACCATAGGAACATGAGAAGAAAATAACAGTTGGCGACACATACATCAACTCATCCCAAACCTTAGAAACACACAATTTGTTTTTCATTAAGTAAAAATTTAAAAAATGTTTGAAGACTGGTGTGGTTAAATAGTAGCCATCACTACTATCAACATGTGGGATCAGGGTTCAAAGCTTGTTTGACTGGTGTTTATAAGGATTTCAACCTAACCTATGGCTTACTCAGCATAAATGAATACCCAGCATTTAGCCTATTGGTTTTATATAGATCACAACCTAACGTTTGAGCTTACTCAGCATAAATGAATACCCAGCATTTAGTCTATTGGAATCATAAGGATTTTGACCAAATTTAAAAGCCTATCCTGCTCAAATGGACACCTACCATTCTGCCTTTTGAGATTGTAAGGTTTAAACACAATTTTAATGACTCACCAGATCAAATGAGTACCCATCATTAAGGAAGGGGGGGACTAGACTAGACCAGGTGTTCTTAACCTGGCTTCAAGTGAACCCCAGGGGTTCAACGGTTCATTCACAGGGATTTGGCGAAGGTAAATACACAGTGTGAACGGTAGAACTATTACCAAGGTTTTGGTGAATGCGCATATGAAACAGCGGGGAGAGGGGGGGGGTCTGTATTTCAAAAAAGGTCATTTGCTATTTCTGTAATAGGAGCTAAGATGTCAAACAAAAGGAGCTAAGATGTCAAACAAAAAGAGCTAAGCTGTCAAACAAAATCTTACAAGAAGGTTTATAGGTCTGTGTTGTTGGAGACACCTGAGTCGTCAGTGCTGTGTAGCCAAAGTCATTACAGTGGTTGATGCTGCTGATGAACTCAGGAGATGGCGTGTTGGCATCCTGTGGTGTAGGCTTATCACAATGCTCTGTGTAAAGGGTGGCGTTTTTTATTAGAGGTTCCTCAAAGCTGGCCATCTGGATCCCGCCATACTCAATGTTAACAATAAGTTTGACCTGTGGAGGAAGAGTTATTCATTGTTAGTACAGGGGCTGAGATTGGGTTGTCTAACTTTATGGTGAACCTGGGTTGTCTAACTTTATGTTGAACCTGGATTGTCTAACTTTATGGTGAACCTGGGTTGTCTAACATTATAGAGAACCTGGGTTGTCTAACTTTATGTTGAACCTGGATTGTCTAACTTTATGGTGAACCTGGGTTGTCTAACATTATAGAGAACCTGGGTTGTCTAACTTTATGGTGAACCTGGGTTGTCTAACTTTATGGTGAACCTGGGTTGTCTAACTTTATGGTGAACCTGGGTTGTCTAACTTTATGGTGAACCTGGGTTGTCTAACTTTATGGTGAACCTGGGTTGTCTAACTTTATGTTGAACCTGAGTTGTCTAACTTTATGGTGAACCTGAGTTGTCTAACCTTTTAATGAACCTGGGTTATCTAACTTTATGGTGAGCTTGGGTTGTCTAACTTTATGCTGAACCTGGGTTGTCTAACTTTATGTTGAAACTGGGTTATCTAACTTTATGGTGAACCTGGGTTGTGTAACCTTACAATGAACCTGGGTTGTCTAACTTTATAATGAACCTGGGTTGTCTAACTTTATAATCAACCTCAGTTGTCTCACTTCTTGTTGAACTTGGGTAGACTAACTTTATTGTTAATCTGGGCATTCTAAATATAATGAACCTCATAAATCTAACATTATGATGAGTCTGAGTTGTCTAATTTAGATAATTTCTACATATTGCACTGTCATGAAACTATTCTAAAATAAAATAGTTATGTTTGTGCAACAAAAGAAAGATCTAATTTAGATGTGAAGACGGCTGTTTTATAAAATAAGAAAATTCTGTACTTTTTAAGACAAGTCAATACACAGTTAGATAATAGAGATAATATGATACACAGCTATTGACATGAAGGGATGATGTGGTAAGTACCATGCCCAGCCACCTTTACTTCCTCTGACTGAGTCAGGTATCTATAGCAGGGGGGGCAAACCTACAGACTCAAGCATGGGGATCGAACTCTGGACTGTTAGAACTCTCTTGCTCAATCACTGGTCTCGCAAGTTGGGAGGTATTGTAAGAAAAAAAACTACCAAGCTTACATTGAAAGATATAATTCCATCATGTTTCTCAAACATAGAACTACCAAGCTTACATTGAAAGATATAATTCCATCATGTTTCTCAAACATAAAACTACCAAGCTTACATTGAAAGATATAATTCCATCATGTTTCTCAAACATAAAACTACCAAGCTTACATTGAAAGATATAATTCCATCATGTTTCTCAAACTCAAAGTGCAGCTTAGGTGAGGTCAGGGGGATGTTCAGTTCTGAAAAAAAAAAGAACTCTAAAATCCAGCAGTGTTTATCATAGAGATGCTAGCTAACTTTTGTACTTACTTGTGCCTAACAAAAAATATCAAGTTTTATTTCCGTGAACTAAAATAGTGATGATTATTTTATATCTTAAGAGTAAGTTGAGTATAGAACCCTTTTGGCTTGATAGTCCATAGGCCAGGTGAAGTAGAATTCACCTGTTTCAGTTACCTCAGCATATGAAGAGATCAGCACTATGCCCAACCGCCTTTACTTTCCCTAAAGTGAGTTAGGTACCCATCAGTGGTCTCAGTGACATCCTACTGACTCAAGCTCAGAATCTGAACTCGCAACTTTTGGGTTACAGGTGTACTCTCTACCATCCGACCAGTTGCACAGCAGACAAAACATCAAATTATCTAAATTAATTTTAACATTTTTATAACCAAGCTCTCTGCCACGGTTCCATTTTTTTAAAAAGCCAATAGCTTAATTCTTGTATAGAATTTCAATCCAGGCAATGACTGACAACCCCTAAAACCTTTAAAAAACTTTTCTTGTAGAAATCTCACTTTGTTATTAGGAATAAACACTCAAATCTTCATTTTATAAATACCTGGAAGAGCTAAATAAGAATCATGTGTGATTCTCTTTGTGAAAGTCTTATTCTCAGTAGAAATGTGAAGGTAGAAGTCTATAGATACAGGGTCGCTACATGAGTTTAACTGACTGCCAAAGCAGTAGTCGTAGCCTGGCTTAACCTTGATTGGCAGCTGTCGCACAAATGCCTGAAAATTAATTAGACATGCAAATATTCAGGACAAACTAAATGGTTTTAGATTTTTTTTTTTGTCTGAGCTAGGAATAATTTTAGGTTAAAGGTTTTAAGTTTTGTAGCATTAGGACTATTTTAGTAATATTTTTTTATAAAATATATTATTTATAATATATATAATTATTTTTTATAAAACGTATTTGATGCAGCTGTTTCTACTAGTAAAAAAATACTTCAAATTACATTACAGACATTGTTAAACAAAAATTTTGACTAAAAAAGGTTATAATTAGAAACAAAAAAATGATGCTTGGAGTGAAGTGGCCAAAACAATATTTTAATCAGAAACAAATAAAATGATGTGTGCAGGAATACTGAAGTGGTCAGAGCAATATTTTAATCAGAAACAAATCAAATGATGCCTACAGTTATAGTGAAGAGGCCAGAACAATATTTTAATCACAAACAAATAAAATGATGCCTACAGGTATAGTGAAGAAGTGGTCAGAGCAATATTTTAACTAGAAACAAATAAAATGATGCCTACAGGTATACTGAAGTGGCCAGAACAATATTTTAACTAGAAACAAATAAAATGATGCCTACAGGTATACTGAAGTGGCCAGAACAATCTATCCTCGTGCAATGTTGAGTCTTGTTGTTGGTACAGCTCTGAGCCCCTGGGAAAGTTTCTGCCTTAGCCAAGTCAGCCCATGTCTGGCACACATCTGGACCTGGGGCACTGTGGGACACTGGGCACAGTGGAAACACAAGTGAAAACATTTGATAGAAAATTTTGTTCAATTGTTACACACTCAGCACCTACTCAAATAAACAACCCAGCATTTTTAAACATAACAGGCACCTCTAAATTTGCCAGCATTACCTACTAAAATAAAAAAATTTCATATATTCATTCCATGTGTAATGTTCTATTTCCAAAAACTTCAAGAAACTACAGGTATCTTTATTGTTCAGTGGGAGAGGGGTGGGGGTGGGCGGGGGGGGGGGGGGGGCTGAGATGATGGTCTATGATGTGGAAGTGTTATCTTATATTGTGAGATGTGGTGGATCTGGAATGTCCTATTTTTTGTTAAATATTCTGTGCATTGATAATCATTTCCTACTGAACTAATCTGTTATGATTAGCAGGAAAAATACCTTAGATACAATACTCATATTTAGAAGTAACAAGTAATGCAGTAGCTGTCAGCCCTCATTTAATTATAAATTGTGCATTATGAGATGTGGTAAAAAACTAGATAAATTATTAATAGCATAAATAGTCATCAAACTTTAAAAATTAGATCTCTAATACGGTAAGTAGGGAAAAATGTTAAATATTAATAAAGATATACTACAGCTGAATAAAATATTATATTGTAATATCCACGAAAGGAAATGGCTGAATCTCAAGCTGAACAGTATCCCTGGACAGGCCACAGCCAACAGGTGAACACGTTATATTGAGTAAAATCTCAAAACGTTACTAAAAAACAATCTCCTTATGTTTAGATTAGAATGGTAAGGCCACATGCCCCAACCAAACATACATACAATCTATAATAGTCTATACTGTGTATACACAGAAAAGTTTATTTTGAAAGCTTTAAATTAAAACAACCAGATGTCTCAAACAGAAAAGTGAAAAGGCAATAGAGACATTAAAAATGTTACAAAAAATTCTTATAGGCCCTAATCTAATTATTATAATAATTAATAAAAATGGTACTGATCCTAGAAAACTAAAACTCACAGCGTTGAGAATTTGAAATAAATTATTTAGGGGTAATCTATCGTTTTAGGTACGTAAAATCGCCCGCGACTAGTAATGTGAAAAACAGGTGATTCCTTAAATTTTAATAGGCCTAATTATTTCACATTTTGAGGAGGATTTATGTTTTGAAAAATACAAAAATGTTTCCTTGTTTCATTTATGTACCTGGTTTTAAACAACTGAATTAAAACTTTTCAGTAATAAATGAAGACTAGCGATGTTTCCAACAGATGTAACCATGCTCATTTACTATAGCAGCCATCTTCTTAATATCTTTTTATTGTAAACTTATAGCGCAAGATTCAGGGGAAGCCACTCTAACTTACAGATGGCCGCTTTTTATAGGCCTATAGTATAGTATAGCAAATCCTGCTCGCAAACACTGCTGTTTAAAGTTAATTTCTTGCCTATATTGATATTGAAATATTTAGTTAAGTTACAAGTTACAAGTTTAGTAACTGTAATAAATAGGTCTCTTTTTCTTTAATGTCAGACTCAGATGATTGATTATTGATAGGCTAATAGTAATAATATGAGACTAAAATATAAAAATAGACAAGACAACAAGACTAATGTCGTAATGATATTAAATTAAAACAAGTCAACAAAGCGAACGAATAAGTCATTAATGTTAATCATCATTCACTTAAAATAGTGAACGTTCATTTATCTTTTAGTCTATATGGAACAGTAATTTAGACGCACTACATTTTAAATTACACCACACTTACCAGCAACAATACAAGAAAAAAGTAAACAAACTAAGGGAGACATTTTTGTTTTCCTGGAAGTGCCAGATAAATTGTTTTTAGAAGAAAACCAAAATATTGATATGATAGTAGTAAGTAAATTAACAGCATGTGATAGGCATAAACGATTTCCATCAAATTTCTTCCTGCTCCCTCCTCTTACATAAACTACGATTCTGTAACTAGAGTCTAGATGTAATTCTAGATTTTATCGGAAAATGCCGAAATCCAAGCATTCATTGGCAGTATTGGAAATCTACCATGCTATGCAGTGAGTGGAAATTTGTATTTTAAAAACAAAATGAACAAAATATGCTTTGGGGTTGTTTTGGAATAAAAATATTTATTGGTATTTTCGAGGGGTGGGGACGACTAAATTTCTAAATTTTCCCCATCCGAATTTTACCCATTTTACCAAGAGATCTAAGGCAGGAGAGTCTCTCTTATAAAGAGACCTCCAAGATCGTCTGTAATCATGAAAATCACCATATGTAATCTATAACCACCGTGTGTTCTATCAAGCCTAGTTTAGATAGAAAAAAATAAAATAAAAGGCCGCACGTAGATTTTAATAAACTTGACCAAAAAGTGATGATAGGGATCAGCAGTGTTTCTTCCAGACTTTTTTTCTCCGGGGGGGGGGGCCACTTGAAATTTTCGGGGGTGCGGTAGACTTTCTTCGGGGGGGGGGGGGACACTGTTAAAAGTATATATTTTCTATATAAATTTCATTTCGTTCGGGGGGGGGGGGCGGTAAAAAAAATTTTCCCCGAAGAGATGCCCGGAAGAAACTCTGTGTATCAGGACTTCTGTTATATCTCTCGTATAAAGGAAGGTTCGTGCAGGTTGAAGATAGAATCGTGAACTTTTCTCAACCTGGTTTGGGGTTCGAACTCTGGATTTTCGTGAGACCAATCTCGTGTTTTACCTATACACTACGCCTAATCGATAATGTAAAGCTGACTATAGATCTTCTTATGAAGACGAGTTATTAATTTCATGTTTAAATATACTCTACGAGCCGACCCGCAGCGTATCATACGCCGCTATTTAGTTGTTTTATGTTCTACTTTTCAGTAATTCATAATTTGTGAATTCGACAGTACCAATGCTGCCACTGAAAATATTTGCTTTAAAACACTAACCCTTCCCCCCCCCCTTTCCCCGGTGGCCGGAAAGAACCGCAACGGAAAAAAGCGCAACGGAAAAAAGCGCAAAACAAAAAGCGCAACGGAAAAAAACGCACACGGAAAAAAGCGCAAAGAGAAAAAAGCGCACACAGAAAAAAGCGCAAAGAGAAAAAAGCGCAAACGGAAAAAAGCGCAAAGAGAAAAAAGCGCACACAGAAAAAAGCGCAAAGAGAAAAAAGCGCAAACGGAAAAAAGCGCAAAGAGAAAAAAGCGCACACGGAAAAAAGCGCAAAGAGAAAAAAGCGCAAACAGAAAAAAGCGCAAAGAGAAAAAAGCGCACACAGAAAAAAGCGCAAACAGAAAAAAGCGCAAACGGAAAAAAGCGCAAAGAGAAAAAAGCGCAAACGGAAAAAAGCGCAAACAGAAAAAAGCGCACACGGAAAAAAGCGCAAACGGAAAAAAGCGCAAACGGAAAAAAGCGCAAACAGAAAAAAGCGCAAACGGAAAAAAGCGCAAACAGAAAAAAGCGCACACAGAAAAAAGCGCACACAGAAAAAAGCGCAAACAGAAAAAAGCGCAAACGGAAAAAAGCGCAAACAGAAAAAAGCGCACACAGAAAAAAGCGCAAACGGAAAAAAGCGCAAACAGAAACAGAAAAATGCGCAACCAGAAAAAACACAACGAAAAATGTGCAAAAGAGAAATTTAGCATAAAGACCATATGGACTAGATGACACATTTATACATGACTGTTAGGGCTGCTGTGAGAGTGTCGTGTTTGATCACGTGATCTATTACCATTTAAAGCGTACCACTCACCCACACATCCATCCACCCACCCACACACCCATCCATCCACCCACCCACACATCCATCCACCCACCGACACATCCACTCACCCACCCACCGACACATCCACTCACCCACCCACCCACACATCCACCCACCCATCCACACATCCACCCACCCATCCACACATCCACCTACCCACCCACACACCCATCCATCCACCCACCCACACATCCATCCACCCACCGACACATTTACCCACCCACCCACACATCTACCCACCCACCCACACATCCATCCACCCACCCACACATCCATCCACCCACCCACACTGCATATAAGTATTCGCATAGATTTAGAGTAGCGTCCCTTTTGTTTACATGTTTCCATTACCCTTCAAACAAAAGTCTATTTTAGTTATATTGAGATTAAAGAATGTAAATAAATAGTATACACCATTCTGTAGAATAGGAACGATTGGGAGGGAAGTGACATTTAGCGCAGTAAATTTAGAGGTTAGGTAGGGTATAATAAATGGTGGGGTTAGGAAAGTTAAGGGGTCCATTCTCTAATAGGCAATCTTTGTCTCTTTCGTACTTTCGTGTTGGTTTATTGTCGAACCTGTCCTCGCCTCACATCACAACAGTTGGGTGACGCTTACCGTGTAATGTTTAAATAAATAGCATGTAATTGAGTTAGTTCAAAGTGAGTTTTCATACAAGCCCAACGCACTAATTAAGGTTGTCGCAAAATGTAGCATATATGTAACATATGTCAATGATGTCAATGAATTTTCATTAAAAAAAAGATGTCTAGTGCAGTTTACGAAACTTACGAACTTCGCCGATACTTTTTTGGTGGGTAGTTTGGTAAGTATGTAGGCGGGTAGGTGGATCGGTGGGTAAGTGGGTAAGTGGGTAGGTGGGTAGTTAGGTAGGTAGGTAGGTAGGTGGGTAGGTGGGTAGTAGGTAGGTAGGTAGGTGCGTCATGATGTGAAAAAATATTAAATACAAAATTGTTATTTTAGTGCGAATGAATGTTGTTACGAGAGATATGACGAATGCATGTTTGATGACGCGGATGAAAGAGAGTGAAGTTTTGCCATAGGAACGGGTTGTTATAGTATGCAAGCTAGGTAGTTCGGACTAGGGAGAATGTGAGGGATACTTCGTGTAATGTCGATAGTTTTATGTTTATACGAGAATAGTAGTTGAATAATTATTGACCAAGAAAATAATAGGCATTGTGTAAAGTGATTATCGCCTGTATCGTGGTGATGGGAATGCAGATGGTAGTGGTACGCTTTTAATGGTAGTAGATCACGTGATCAAACACGACACTCTCACAGCAGCCCTAACAGTCATGTATAAATGTGTCATCTAGTCCATATGGTCTTTATGCTAAATTTCTCTTTTGCACATTTTTCGTTGTGTTTTTTCTGGTTGCGCATTTTTCTGTTTCTGTTTGCGCTTTTTTCCGTTTGCGTTTTTTTCTGTGTGCGCTTTTTTCTGTTTGCGCTTTTTTCCGTTTGCGCTTTTTTCTGTTTGCGCTTTTTTCCGTTTGCGCTTTTTTCCGTTTGCGCTTTTTTCCGTGTGCACTTTTTTCTGTTTGCGCTTTTTTCCGTTTGCGCTTTTTTCTCTTTGCGCTTTTTTCCGTTTGCGCTTTTTTCCGTGTGCGCTTTTTTCTGTGTGCGCTTTTTTCTCTTTGCGCTTTTTTCTGTTTGCGCTTTTTTCTCTTTGCGCTTTTTTCCGTGTGCGCTTTTTTCTCTTTGCGCTTTTTTCCGTTTGCGCTTTTTTCTGTTTGCGCTTTTTTCTGTGTGCGCTTTTTTCTCTTTGCGCTTTTTTCCGTTTGCGCTTTTTTCTGTTTGCGCTTTTTTCCGTTTGCGCTTTTTTCCGTTTGCGCTTTTTTCCGTGTGCGCTTTTTTCTGTTTGCGCTTTTTCCGTTTGCGCTTTTTTCTCTTTGCGCTTTTTTCCGTTTGTGCTTTTTTCTGTTTGCGCTTTTTTCTGTGTGCGCTTTTTTCTCTTTGCGCTTTTTTCTGTTTGCGCTTTTTTCTCTTTGCGCTTTTTTCCGTGTGCGCTTTTTTCTTTTTGCGCTTTTTTCCGTTTGCGCTTTTTTCTGTTTGCGCTTTTTTCTGTGTGCGCTTTTTTCTCTTTGCGCTTTTTCCGTTTGCGCTTTTTTCTCTTTGCGCTTTTTTCTGTGTGCGCTTTTTTCTCTTTGCGCTTTTTTCCGTGTGCGCTTATTTCCGTTGTGCTTTTTGATTTGCGCTTTTTTCCGTTGCGCTTTTTTCCGTTGCGGTTCTTTCTGGGAACCCCTTTCCCCTTTCCCCTAACCCCGACCCTACCCCCCCCCCCCCCCCCCCCCCCCCGTGAAAGCAGCCTCCTCTTAGTTATTTCTTAGTTACCTCCCGTAAGTTTAAAATCGAACTAAATTATCTGCCCCTAATAGAAACCCGACTCTACGGCTCTACGATTTGTAAACATTTAGCTTTGTAAACAAAAAGCGTGACAACAGCTCACCAGACAATGTGGGGGTGGGGTGGGTGTGGTAGTGATAGTGATAAAGAGAAAGAGAGGGTACTGCAAGGAGGCGCTTGCAGCTTGTTTTCTAACGGCTCCCAGAAGAGAATTATATATATAGATTCTAACTACAGTCCATATTGTTTTGTAAGGGAATATAACTCTACTTTATTTAATAAAGGAATTGAAAGTTGAAAATTATTTCCCTTTATACTTTAATTTTAGACATTGTGAAAAATTTGATTTGGCCCAAAACACCTTGTCGTGTCGATACCAGTTTAACAGCAGTAATATTTCATATCATGGTAAACGTCTTGCTTTTACTATATACAGAATAAAGAGTAAAGTTGCCCTTACAAACCAGACGGTCTGTGGGGTAAGTGAAGTAGAGTTCACCTGTTTCTGCGATCTCGGCGTATGAAAGGATAGTGTGGCAAGCACTATGCCCAGCCGCCTTTACTTTCTCTAATGTGAGTTGGGTACTAATCAGAGCTGGGTGAACTCAGGGCTGGTATACAGTCTATCTCTCTACCGCTAGTCCACTCTCCCCTTTTTAAATGCGACTCTTAAAAACTAGTATTTTATAGTATAATTCTAGA